GCGCCCGCCGGGGAGGGGGGTAAGCGATGCACGCCTGGCTACCGCCCCGAGCGCCCGGCGGAGGTGACCGCGCGGTCTGAGGGATGCTGCTATTCCAGCGTACCCGGGGCTCAGGTTCCCGGCTCTGTGCGGCTTCCCACCGCACACTTGCTCGCCTCCCGCCAGCTGAAAGCGGGCGAGGCCGATGCCGGATCCCAGGGGATTTTACCGCCCCCAAGGGGGGGAGATCTGGGACTCAGGCGGACTTGCGAGGAGTTACCTGGGAGGCGATACTCGGGGATCCTCTTTCACGTCCTGCGGCCGGATGAGAGGCTGCCCGTCAGCTGCTACCGCTAGCTCGCTGAACGTGCCGGCCGGGTTGGCATCGCGCTTGGCCCGGCTCAGGGCCCATTTGGTCCATCTGCAAGAAGCAGCAAAGGGGGGGGGGTAGCGTGAGCCCACAGCCGAGCCAGACTAAGCACAAGCTGGGGGCTAACGGGTCTGCCAGCGCCGAAGGGGTGTTGTCTGGCTTAGGCACCGTGCTAGTCGCAGAGGAGTTTACACCTCCGGCTCTAGGATGCAGCCCGCTTGGCTCGCGTTGGAGCCATTTCGCAGCCTGGCCGGAGGAACACTTCGGACGAGAAACTTACTTTCTTTTGAATTGCGAAGCGACGTCTAGCCTCGTAGCATCCGCCCCAAGGAAGGTCACAGATCCGAGACAGAAGAGGGTTACGTGAACAAATCTCATTCTGGCTGAAATCCTGGTGGCGAGGATACAAGAAAGGTGTCACCGGGCCATACTGACACTAGCTGTATTCAGTTACAGGGACTCTACGCCTCTGGATGGTCCCCAGTCGCCGGGGACTTGGGGCGGGCGCGCTAAACTAATATTTGCTGAGCAGTTTATCGGAGAGTAAACAAGCGAACCTCCAAAGTTTGCTTTTGTCAGACACTTTACTTGAGCACGTAGCCGAAGGCAGAAAATTGTTGTCAAAATACCCTAAATTAGGATGTCATTAGAAAAAGCTTTCTACTTATTTTAAAGCATGCAACAAATTCCCCTACCACGCTATATTTAATTGCATTTGCTTGTAACCCTTGACAGCTCAGCTTTCTTAACTCGCAAAGAAAACTATGTTAGGTTTACTCTGCAAGCTACAAATGAAACCAACAGCCAGTGCAAACTCATCAGCATAACTTCATGCATTTTAAAAAGTAAACCAGATCTGGTAACTACTTGTGCACCCACACTTAATTCCTCTTTTTCAAAGCTCCATACCTGATGATAATGATAATCCACTGAGAAAAGTCTTTGTATAATACCGACCCCAAGTAATAGTTTCCCCTCCCCCCCGAGCCTCGCTGCCTCTAGAAACTCTCCTCCGCGTCACTGAAGTAACCACTGACTGTCCTGCGCTCCACTTCACATTTATATAGAGCAACGCCGCTGGGAAGGGGGAGGAGCTTCGTATGACTGCTCTGACACTTTCTGCCCCCATCCCTCTCCGACCCATGCACGTCTAATATTAATCATACTGCCGCAATGAGTATGGATCGGGGCAACCAATGCTAGGGCAAAAGTAGGAAGATTAGCAAAACAAATCCCGGACAAGCTGTTAGCGTTGTGCTAATTATCAAAGGAATTTTTAGGTGTGGGTTCTTAGTCATTGCATGCTGCAATGTTCATTACAATTTACAGTATCTGCTATATTGATGATTCTGCATTATACTCGGAACACCGTACCTATATAGGATAGTATATACTATATAGTTCCCATCACAGAAAATAAACACTATAGATAGACGTTTATAGATGTATTGTAGCTAGACCTAGTAGTGTTCAAAATCCATGCAAGTGCAGCCAGTCAAATTTTAAATATATATTTGGAAAATGTGAAATGCAAAGGATAGTTTTAATGAAGAACAGGCTTTGTTACATAAGTAAGTAAATGAATACATCATCCAATAGTTGTATTTATTACCCACTCTAGAGCATGTTTCTCTCTTTTTGATTGTTTTAATGTAAGCTGACATTTGGATATTGTTAAAACATTAAGTTAAGAACAAACATTCAAAGGTTCAAACAAAGCAAATTGTACTGCTATGGAACTAGATACACGGCTATCTAAAATACTAAAATCTATGCATTTTAAATATATGTTTATATAAGGAAAGAGTTGTCATGTGCTGACCCTAATCCTACAAACACTGAAACGTGTTTAACTTCAGTCAGGGTAGCAAAGTTAAGCACGTGCATGTTTGCCGGATCGGGACCCTTCACCATAGCCAGAAAAATATAGCTGTTTTACAATAGTGTGTGATAACTTTACTGTGAACATTTCAGAGGTTTTAATTTCTTTTTTCTCTTTTTCCTTCTGATTCTTTTTACTATAAAATATTTTACTCTGTGCCAGAAGGAACCAGATTTATCCGCTGATTAAGTGAGGCCTAGTATTGACATTTTCCCAGAAGACCCTTTGGTGTTTCTTGCCACTTTTGCCATTGAGAAATATTGAAAACTAGAAACTGGATTGAGACTCCCCAGAGTCTTAATTCACAGTCCTGGTGAGAGAAACTGTATTTAGGAAATCAGGTGTGTATAGGTGTGTGATGCCGTCTCTCTAGGTAACTGTGGCATGTATCACACTTGCAAAGGGATGTGGATGTGAGCTTTTCACAGATTACTCAGTCTAAAGTAATCCCTCCCTTGCCAGCAGCGTCCAGAGCAAGCATTCATGTCTCGCAGCAGCCCCACTGCTTTGGGGATAGACTGCTAGGCTACTGCCAGTAAGGTAGGTGGTTAGGGCATTGCAGGTGCATTTTCCGGGTTAATTCTTCTCCCTGAAGTTGCAATGCAGCTACTGCAGTGAAGGCAGATAGGTCGTCCACTTCCAAACACACTTGATCTTTCTCCAGAAAAAGTGGAAAGTTTCCATATTGGGATTTTAATACAATTTCAGGGCTTAATCCTGCAAGCATTCAGGAATCTGTGTGACTTCATTCAGTAGTTTCATTTCCTTTTACCGAAACTGTCCCAAGCCAGAGTTAAATAATGCAGTGATAGTTAAAGGCTCAGCAGAGGAAGGAAATAATTAAGAAGCACATGAGAGAGAAAAGGAATGAAAGGAACATATCACTAAAAATTGCTCTGACAAATTAACATACTTTCAAATGATCATTTATGCAGTTAAAGCTCCAGTGCCTCCTACCCATTTGCTTAAAACCTCCCTTAATCATCAATAAAACATTATTAAGTTTCTTTTTCTGAGAAGGCAGGATTTATTGTAATGGGTATTGCTTTGTTTTCATATTATTATAATCTTCTGCAATTCCAGTCAGATAACACATTTCCTCAATTGTGGAAAATCTCTAATTAAAATTATTGGCCAAAGAGAAATTCCATTCTTATAATTTTAGAAACTATACAGAAGAGTCCTACCTGGAGACAAGATTTGTAATAAATCACTCACACTCTGTGTCACTCAGCAGTGTCATGCTTAAAAGTCTGTTCTTTACAAACACCATTTCAGTGCTGCAATGTATAAATCATTTTATACACATTTATAAATCAGCCTAACTTGGGATTGAAACTCGGCACTCACTTTATCAATCTGGGTAGTTTCTGAAAAGGGCTGGGACAGGTAAAGCTGATTTTAGTTCTAACGTGAAAACTTTCTGATTTCATATGCTTGTTTTCTGAATTCACATGCTTGTGTCCTATTAAAGTGACTTAGAAGTTGAACTAAAGATATGAAAGTAAGTATACACACACACACAAAGAGTTTAAACGTGAGCTGTAAGCACTGGGTTTGTACACAGAGTGATAGTGCCTTTTTTATTTTGAAAATGATTTCTTAAATAGACAAGTTACTTGCACGTCATAAAAAACAGAGACAGGAAGTTCCTTGTAAGTACTGTATTATTTATAATATATTTTGGAGGCAACATAATTAAATACAATAGAAAATATTATTTTTTCCTATGATATGTCCATTCTCCCATAAGTACTATTGTTAATTGGGAAACTCGCTGGTCTGGAGGAAGGAGTTCTAGACTGCATATTATGACATATGCAGTTTTAATCTGTTACTGACTTGCTGTTGACCTTGGGCAACTCACTTCAACTTCTCTGTATCTCAGTTTTCCTGTATGTACAATTGGATTAACAGTATATGCCTTCTTTGCAGGGAGATAGTGAGGATTAGTGTGTGTTTGTACAGCACTTTGAATAGGTAAAGTGCTAAGTAGCATTATTGTCCTGAGACTTTCTCTAAAATTTCTGTGCATCAATGGGAAGATAGAGTTTTGGCCAAATTCCACATGACTTATGCAAGAAAATTTCCCCTTAAAGTCAGTGGATGCAAGGAGTATGGAAGCTGCCACTTAAGTATGGCTTGATGTTACTATGATTAAATTTAAATGCAAATTGTTATATTACATATTAAAGTGGCTTTGAAGTTGAACTAAAGATATTAATGTACGTATTCTATACTAAGTAGTGTGTAAAATCCCAGCCAAAATCAAAGTGAAGAACTCTTATTTTTAGGTTTATTGCTTTTCAGTTAATCAAGGCAAACATATTCAAAAGTGACTAGTGATAGTAGGTGCCTTGAATTTTAGGTGCCTAACAAGAGATAATGGCATCTGGTTTTCACAAAGTGGTGAGAATCCAAAAATTGAGGCACCCAAATATCTCTAGAGACTTTTGAAAATGTAGGGCCTGGGACTTCTCCATAATATTCAACATCTGGAATGTCCCATCTATAATGTAAGTCCACCCAATGTCCTGAGAACTCTTTTTCATATCCAGGAAGAACAGGATGAGTTTCTCTCCCTCCCAAGGAGGAAATATGATCTCAGTATTGAGGAGTTGGACAGGGAGTCAGTAAAATTAGTTTCAATTCTTCCCTCTCCTATAGATTTCCTCTATGACCTCAGGCAAGTATCTAATCTTATCTATCTAGTCCCTTGTCCTCATTTGCAGTGGGTACTATTACTGGATGATACAGATATACAGAGGGTTACTCCATAAATATTTGGGAGATGGTCAGATACTATGATGATGGTGACCATCCAGGTAGTTTAGTTCAAGGTGAGTTAAAATTAAGATGTGCTTTTTCTTTTGATTGACTGTTTTTAAGTCATGCCACTCTGTGCTGTGATCCCACTAGATTTTGCAAGCTAACCAAGGTTTGGCTTTGTCTGTTTGGATGGGAGAGGCATAAATAGTGAGGTACTGTTAGTAGCAGTGTTGGTGAAATCCTCAGTATATTTTTTTCTCTTAGGTGCACACTGGATTAATTACCCCAGTAAAGTCCTATGTAACACTGACCTGCTTTGAGGTGTGCTCTCAAATGAAGTGCAGAAGTAGAGGTTCCCAAATTTGTTTTGATAAAATAATTCCAGGGCATTTTTTTGTAAAAGTAGAAATGTTAATCCAAAACTCCTAGTCAAATTCCAAACTTGGTGATTATATTCTGTCTGTATGAGCTTCCCCTGCAGTTTCAATTGTACAGAATACTATTCTGTCACTGTTGAAAGCTGCTCTGTATTCTTGTTGAGCATGGTCAAACAATTGCTGTGTTTCACTTTAGTGGGGACTCATTGATCCCAATTCACACAGATGATTGATTAACTAAAGCATACCTTTTTTGCTATTTCAGCAATATTTTTCTTCCAAAGATCTCAAACTAGTAAAAGGATACTATTTTAAGACTTTTTATCCCTAAATTTTTTAAACAGCTCTTTTGGTTTCAGTCATTAAAATCCATGAGGACGATACTGCTAAAATCTTGCACGCCACTTTTAAAATGTATCATTTAAATTTTTTCTTGCTTCTCTAATGCTCAGGGAGAAGCAAAATAATCTAATCAGATCCCCAAAAGTTCTTTTTCTCTAAGAAGTTATGTAATATTACAGATTCGTCTTATACTGTTGTCTTTTTTACTGACACTTACACTGCATTTTATTAAGTCTAAATCTTGCTACATGATATTGGAATGATTAATTGCCATAAATAATATAAGCTGCTGCCCTCTGCTGGAAAGTAAACAAGCAGGAGGATTTTAATCATCCATACAATTGTGTTCTATATTAGAAAAGTGTTGCTTCTAATTATACCTCTTCTGAATGTAAAGTGTAGTTATTCAATATCTGACATATGAAAATAAAGTTCATAAATAAAATATGTTTGTTACTGTATTCCATATTCTGATTTATGGTGGTGTGATTAGAAATAAATCCAGTGGTAACGTAACTGAACTGAACAATGATTCATATCACTTACTGCTGCAGATCCAACTATCCTGCTGTTGAACATGCCTATTTTGGGCATACACTCAACCAGTTAATCAAGCAATGTCTTGTCAGACACACTACATTTCAGCAAAATCTTTGCATCACCCAGTAGGCCAATTAGGCTTTGGGGTAAGATCAAAAGTTGTCAGTCCTACTTACACACTATAAATAGCATCCTGGAATCTTCCACTTAACAGTAAATGAGCTCTGTAGGCTCTTGAAGAATAGCATTTTGCTAAGGTGTCACAGAAATGGGTAAGCAGAAGATCAAAAATATTAAATTAAAGAGATACTGCCCATGAGTCACACCTTCCTGATGAGGATTTAAAGTGATACCTACTTGATTTTTTCCTCCTTGGGTGCTAGTGCCAAAGCTGTACTCCACATGGAAAGTGACATATGTGGGAGAGGAAAGCACAGTTGGAAAACCTGTTAATAAATATGTACGGAAACAGGATTTCAGGGTACATCAAGATTTCAATCCAATATGGTTAATAGCATTTTGGCCAGGCCTAGTCAGGCAGCCTGTTCTCTCTTTCTCTTTCTCTTTCTCTTTCTCTTTCTCTTTCTCTTTCTCTTTCTCTTTCTCTTTCTCTTTCTCTGGGAGCATCTACACAACTGGGTTTAACTCCAAATAAGCTACACAAATTGAGCAACATCAATTGTGTAGCTTATTTTGAAATAGCTTATCTCGAAATTGGGAGTGTCTACACAGTACTTATTCTGAAATAAAGCACTCCTCCTACGATTTCCCTTACTCCTTGTGGAATGAGGGTTACAGGAGTTGGAGTAAGAAGTCCTCCAGCTTGACAGTATTTTGGCCATTATTTTGAAATAACGGCCTGTTGTGTACACACAGACTGTTATTTCAAAATAATGTTGCTGAGTATACGTACCCTCTCTTCCCCTCTCTCTCTCTCTCTCTGGCTATGTCTATACTGCACTGTTCTTCTAGAAAAACTTTTCTACTTCTTTTTTCGGAAGAGGCTTTTCTGACAGTTGGCCCATCTACACCCGGCCAAATGTCAGAGCCCCCCCCCCTTTTTGGAACATCCCTTCTTCCTCATAAAACAAAGTTTACAGGGATGCCAAAAACTCTTCCGAAAAAAAATTCGGAAAAGCAGATGCATTCCCTGGACGCAGCAGAGTTTGGTATCCTGGAAAAACTCTGCAGTGTAGACATAGCCTTTCTCTCTTATACACACAGACTTTCTCCCAGATTTCCCTGCTGACTTTATTGCTAGAGATAAGTCAGTTTAAGCATAACAGTCATATAGTTACTAGAAAAAACTTAAAGGTCTTGGTGAATGCTGTGCCATTATAACTGCACTCAGTTAAGGAAAGCTTGCTTCCTGCCGCACTGTTGCATGTTCCTAACATCCAAAAGAAAATGTAAACAGGAAACTTCCTGGAAATTCATAGTCACTATAAATTCCATTCTTGAGAAGCTACTCAGGGAGGCTATTTTAAGGCAATACTGTGATAGTTCCTATTAAGGCGTTTATTTGGCATAGACTGAATTTATACATGCATCTGCAAAATATTATATAAAACAAAGAGGACGATGTGCTTCACTGCACATTTCATAACAGAAAAAAATCCGAACCCCATATTTAGGTGTTGAATTCGGTCAGGGAGGATATTTTAGAAAGACCCTTAGCTACCTTTTTTGTAGTTTTCATGAGCTAAACTAAAAATGCGTCAATAAATATAAATAGGAGGAAAGAACAATGTTGTCTTGTTGCAGTCTTTATCAGATTATGGAGCATAATCTTTGGGTGGGAATTTTGGAGAGAGACATGACTGGTTTTGCATGCACTAGAAGTGCACGGGTAAACTACCTGCCTGCAACCCTTTGAAATAGGAAGAAGCCAAGCTCAAGTTCAAGCGCCGAGACCAAGCACGTTTATTTTGGGAGAGAGCTTTACATATGCACTGGTCTGCTCGTGCCGCGTGTACTCGCAAATGCAAACAGGGTGGGAAGCCGCTGCACCCCGCCACAGCCTGTGTGAAATTGACAATAGCCTCAACAGAGCCCCGCAGCACCGCGCCGCGTGCGAACTGTAAACCCCGCAGCCCACGCCCAGCCCAGGCCGGGTCATAGCACAGCGGCTGAGGTAGCGCGCAGGCGCATAATGCGCCTGGGCGTCCAACATGGCTGAGGTGCTGCTCTTGTTGGAGCAGGGGGCAGGATGCTGAGCGCCCGAGCGGCAACAGAGCCTCAGTAGTGGCGGGGGCCGAGGCGGGCCCGGCTCGGCCATGGCTAGGCTGGCTGACTATTTCATTGTGGTGGGCTGGTCATAGCACAGCGGCTGAGGTAGCGCGCAGGCGCATAATGCGCCTGGGCGTCCAACATGGCTGAGGTGCTGCTCTTGTTGGAGCAGGGGGCAGGATGCTGAGCGCCCGAGCGGCAACAGAGCCTCAGTAGTGGCGGGGGCCGAGGCGGGCCCGGCTCGGCCATGGCTAGGCTGGCTGACTATTTCATTGTGGTGGGCTATGGCCACGAGAAGCCAGGTAGGTGTGGCGGGGGGGAACGCTGCCGCCCGCGGGGCTGGCCTCCCTTGCCAGCCCTGCTGTCACAGTGGCACCCAGGAGAGGAGGCGGTGGGGCCACACGTGCCAGAGGCTGTTGGGGGAGAGGGGCGAACTGGCGGGCAACGCTACAGTTTTTGTGCAGGTGGTTGGTGGAGTCAGGCGGTTGCTTTCATGAAGGGGGTTCGTGGCTTGCCAGTGGCGGGATGGGGGATTCTTCTCCTCCGGCGGAGCCAGGCAGGCAGGTTTGCCTCAGAACCTTCCCAGAGCACGGACACGTGCGGAGTGGCTATCGCAGTCTGTCAGTGAAAATAGAAATAAAACAGTAACCCCCCCCCCCCCCCCAATCTCCTGTCATATCCTGAGCTAATCATGAATGACGCAGGGGAATGGTCATTGTCAGGACTAGGAAGAGGTCTGATCCCGGCACTAATTTCACATAGTGGATGCAGGCTTTTGTGCTATATAGAAGCCATCTTGATCATTTGGATGAGGGAAATTATGAAAAAGAGACTTTAAATGGCTCATAATTTTCATCATATAAACCATCAGAGGGGTAGCTGTGTTAGTCTGTATCTTTAAAAACGTGTAGTCCTTTGGCACCTTAGAGACTAACAAATATATTAGCTTTTGTTTATTAAAACAGCCATTTTTAACAACATTTATTAAAAATGTTAGCTTAACCTGAATCCCCAGATAGAATTCTTGTTTGTTATTTTATGAGGTGTATTCACTGTAAGGAATAATATTTTTATTGTTCCTTTCTCCTACCTCTGTGTGTGTGTGTGTTAAATGTTTTGTTTAGCAGAATAGTAAAGATAATACTAAAAGAAAGTTGGCTAAGTCAACAGGGATCTCCCCGGAAAACGACTGGGTTTATTGTCCTTGTTTGGGGACAAACAATTGTTAGTTATCACTTGCTGGAATGCCATTGCTGATATAGTGCAGATGACAATATGGAATTTTGTAGACTCTGTTAGGTTGCATCTGTTATAGAATTGTCACAACAAAGATGTTTTTGCTTCCCTCTGGTCAGAAGACAGGGAGAAACATTAGTTATGTTCTGTGTACAACCTTGCAGGCAAAGAAAAATCATATTTTGCTAATTAAATGAAATATATATTTTTCTCTCTATCATATTTGTCAATAATGACATGACATCACTTGTTTATGGATATTGCTGAAGGAGCTTTCAACTTTTATACTGCAGTATTTTACACTTTCAATTCAGTTGTCCACTGGTACACAAATACATACAGACTTGCCTTTCAGTGGATACTTTAGGGCGATCATTTAATAAGCTATTGTAATTAAGATGGATTTTAAATGATTAAGTGTTTTTTTAAATACCCAAAGCCACATCTAACAAACCCTATTTAAATCTTGTATTTGAGTCTGTATTAATAGATTCTCTAAAGGTAGTACTTAATCCATAGTTTATTTTATGTATTTTCAAAATATACATAGTAAGAGATTAGCATCTTTTTTCTTTAACATACAAATAAAATCTATTAATCATATGTATAAGATTGAAAGGCTTATATAAAAATCTGTCAATAAAAGATTTGGTGTCCTTTCTAGAATTCACACCATAATTGGGTCCTTCCATTATAACATATATATCGTCTTTTCTAATCCCAATGTGAAATTATAGATTTACAAAGCACTGTGAAGTGAAAATAGGGTGCAAGAAGCAAAGGGCAATAGAGTGGAAGATACAAGATATAGATTGCTTTTTACTAAAGGGATGCTGTCAACTTTGATATATTTGCTATATGAAGTAAATTGACTGATCAAACTTGGACAAATATCTGTAAAACCTGAGTGTTCCATCACTTAAGCATATGCATTATTCCGTTCACATCTTATTGACTTCTGGACTGCTACCTTGTGTGAAGTTCTAAATGTGCATAAGCGTTTCCAGGATGGGGCCTTAATCTGAAGAGTTTGTCTCCTGAAATAGTTTAAGCGACGAGGAGTCCTGTGGCACCTTATAGACTAACTGAAGTGTAGGAGCATAAGCTTTCGTGGGCAAAGACCCACTTCGTCAGATGCATGTAGAGGAAATTTCCAGAGGCAGGTATAAATATGCAGGCCAGGATCAGGCTGGAGATGACGAGGTGGATCCAATCAAGGAGGATGAGATGAGGCCCACTTCTAGCAGCTGATCTGGAGGTGTGAATTTCAAGAGAGCAGAAGCTGCTTTTGTAGTTAGCAAGCCATTCACAGTCTTTGTTTAATCCAGAGTTGATTGTGTCAAACTTAAAGATGAACTGTAGCTCAGCAGTTTCTCTTTGAAGTCTGGTCCTGAAGTTTTTTTGCTGCAGGATGGCTACTTTTAGATCTGCAATTGTGTGTCCAGGAAGATTGAAGTGTTCCCCTACAGGTTTTTGTATGTTGCCATTCCTAATATCAGATTTGTGTCCATTGATTCTTTTACGTAGGGACTGTCCAGTTTGGCCGATGTATATAGCAGTGGGGCATTGTTGGCACATGATGGCATATATTACGTTGGTGGATGTGCAGGAGAATGTACCAGTGACAGTATGGCTGATCTGGTTAGGTCCTGTGATGGTGTTGCTGGTGTATATATGTGGGCAGAGTTGGCACCGAGGTTTGTTGCAAGGATTGGTTCCTGAGTTCGAGTTATTATGGCTGCTAGAAGTGGGCCTCATCCTCCTTGATTGGATCCACCTGGTCATCTCCAGCCTGATCCTGGCCTGCATATTTATACCTGCCTCTGAAAATTTCCACTACATGCATCTGACGAAGTGGGTCTTTGCCCACGAAAGCTTATGCTCCTACACTTCAGTTAGTCTATAAGGTGCCACAGGACTCCTCGTCGCTTTTGCAGATTCAGACTAACACGGCTACCCCTCTGATACTTGAAATAGTTTAGACAGAGTAATCAAAAGTTAGGGTTTGCTGCGGTTTTAACACCTACTGTTCAAAATGTTTGAGAGAAAACAACATTCTCCAGCAGACTATGCAACACAGTGTTCTAAATTCCTTCACCCCCACATGCAATTTCATAATATGCAGAGTATGCAGACTGTTTTTTTCTTTTGTAAAATTCTGAAGTTGTTTTGGTGTATTTATTCCATTTCCTTCTACATGAAATAGGTAGGCCCAAAATATTTCTGTAAGAAACTTGTAATTATCCTTGATGGTTTAAATAAACTTGTGTGTAGACATTTTTCTTGTTAGTTTCTCTTTTAAAAAGGCATTTGCTTTGATCGGTTAAAAATCTAATTTAAGTGTAAAATGTTTGTATTTAACTTAAATGGAAAAAAACCTTTTACGCTACTTAATCTAAATGGTTTTAAATACTCACTATACAATTTAAAAATAATTAAAAACATTTAATATAGTTTAAGAAACCATTTCTGTAGTTCCTATTGGTAGAAAATACTCTGAACATCAGTGTTACAACACCTGATCCAATAGATATTTTTAAATGCTTTTGAAAAAAAGGAGAAAAATGCCATTTGTTAGTCTCTAAGGTGCTTCAGGTCTCTCTCTCACTCACTCACACACACACACACACACACACACACACACACACACACATCCAGTCTCTCACTCACTCACTCACACACACACACACACACACACACACACACACACACACACACACACACACACACACATATAATAGAAATTAGGTTTTTTTATTTATTATTGTTTCTGTTTTACATAGCTCTCCCCAATTTAGTGTCTGAGTGCCACACAGATACTAACCAATTTATCCTCCTAGCACTCTGATGAATTGGGGAAGGGTTATCCCAACTCTGGAAGTGAATTTAGGCAAGAAGAAATGAGTGGATATACCCACAGTAGAAAAATCAACTGAAATTTCCCCTAATGGCAAGGCTATATTTCATGTTACAAAGACAAATCTATTTTGTCTGACACTTTATTCATAACAAACACATGCTGACAATTTTCCCATTTAATTTATTATTGGATGTTTCAGAATTATACATTTGAATATTTAAGGGCTGTGTCTGGCAAATGACGTTTGGAGTTTACTGTTGGTTTTTACTTCCTCGTAGGATTTATTTTCATTGTAATCCCCAAAGAAGCAATGTTTCATTTAAAATTAGTGTAGCTTCTATAATAACTTATTTTCCTTACACTTACTATAAAATGATTTTAATGCTGGTAAAAAGATGCTGTATTGACAATCCTGTTGATTTTTAAATCCTGTGTTGATTCATGAAATTGATAAAGCTGTTACATTATAAGCTTCCCTATGTCACCCTGATAGTGTGCCCAGGATTGATTTGGAGCTGCCATAAGTGTTTGTCACACATGGTAGATTAAGCTAGCTGCTTTTGATTTGATTTTTCAGCCTTTGTTAGTTGAAACTATAGCAGATATTCACTGACACAGATTGGCAGATATAACATGCTATCTAATTCTGCACCAGTTTAAAAAATCCATGGCAAGTATTGAAATGTTTGGATCCTGATTCTACATTTGACTGAGTACAGGTGCGCTTTTAGATAGATGCGTGCTGAAATTAGTAGGTCATTGTACCTGTGTCTGATCAGATGGAATTGGGCTGTGGCTTTTAGTGGGAGAGAGTGTCTGTACAGTTGCTTATTAACGGATGTCTTTATGCTTTGTAATATTGAGTTATACAATCTAGCGGCCTTAAATAACAGAATTATTTTTATAGGTGTTGTATAGAACCTCTTACAACTTCTCTACTAGTAAGTATGTGACTTCCTGTGTGTGCACACTTAGTAATTGGTGAAAATTTCAAGAAGGAAACTTATTTTTGTGGACTTGTCCTATGATTACTATATTGTCGTTTCTACAATTGAATTCATGCATATACATCTTTGTGTTCCGGACAAGTCCTACTTATCTTGGTGGTACTCTGTGTGAATATTAAGAGCCCATATATCCAGATGGGAATCCTTGTACAACGGAATTGAGCTTGCATTCCTTGTACCCTCAAAATTTCCTTTGAAG